GATTTTATTTTACCCAGACTCGCTTCTTTATCCTAGAAAATTCACTAAAGCTGAAACGAGCATAAGTAGCCGTAAAATGGTGGAAATCAGTGTCCCGAGTAGAGGCAAATTAACTTTTCTCATGAAAAGTGCAAAAGAAAGCAAACTTGTATCAATTTTATAAATTTGTATCAGAAGGCCAGAGGTGCGGTTTGAGTCTAAAACGGGACTATTTCATTTAATTAAGAGCTCACGGAACGCTTTTGAAAATCACCAATATTTTAAAATCCAAATATCGCAAATCATAGCAAATGTTCAATTATCATCTTCTCTATGCGGTATAACTCAGAATCGCTTCAGGCTAAGCTCATGATAAGTGGAAATAGTATTGTTTTCGAGGATATAAAAATAGTTTGGGGCTTTTCACTTCCGCATGGAAACACCAGACTGAACTTTGAGAAAATCGCAACATCGGCATTTACGTCGCGAAATAACTGTAATTAGGCAGGCTGTGGTTAACCCAGGAATTCCAAGCACATTTTAGCAGTTAGCACCGTGTTCGATAAGGAAATCAGTATAATGAGCTAGTCTGGCATAGCTAACGACGAAAGATTGGTTTTTGTCCCTGCTTTCCTTTCAAATTCTCATCCATTTCCCATGGCGAAACTGTTTACAATAACGCATTCCGTAAGCTAGCGGAGGGCGTCTGTTTTTCTTGGCATATTCGAACACATTTAAGTTTTAAGAAAGTTCTAGGGTAACATTGAGCTTCATTATGAAATTGAAAGGGTAAAATTGTTGAAATAACCAGCCTTGTGGTTACCAGAGGAAATGTAGAGAGATTAGGGTGGAGAATATGGATATCAATATAGCGGTGAAAGGGATAGGAACGGGATGATCGAGGGGGAATGGGCTGAGGGTTGACTTTCACAAACCGGGGCGAAAATAATGGAAATTTCTAAACAATCCCAGCATCTGTAGGCCGTATACGAATAACATAGTGATAAAACTTATTTTACAGATTCACAATCCGGAGAGGTTAAAAGAAATATATATTTTAATTTACATTTAAGTTTTTTACAATCTTAACGAAATATCACTTCACAGGAGCTCATACTGATTATGAAAATGATACAAAAAAAAAACGCTCGGGAAACTTCTATTTCTCAAAGGGGCAGACTACTAGCTGTTTCTCCTTTTCAGTAAAGTCCATTGCGCGAGTAAAAAAATCTCAGTGAAAAAAAATTGATGTTAGCACACTGTGGTGAGATCTATGTTTTTTACTCGCGCAACAGACGTCGCCCAAAAGGGGGGCTGCTCGTAGTCTAAAAGTAAGAAACTAATATCTTTATCGATGATCCACGATTCGTCTTTTTACAGTTCGTCTTTACGATAAAAACTCAGGGCAGTGTTTTGTACCGGTAAACCCTTGCGAATATCACACAGGATCTATTAATGAGCCTCTCTATATGGGTTCCTACGGTCTTCGTATTCTTCGCGTTTTTTTTTTTTTTGCAAATCTTCGTTTTTTTCAGGAAGATCTTTGTTG